AGTTTGATGTAGAATAAATTAAAAATAGATAGTAAATTAGAATCTAGCCCATTTAAAACTAAACCCTGGATTTTAAAGATGACCTATTTTACAAAATCTGCTGCTTCTAAAAACAACCAAAGCACTAAAAAAAAACAGACATTTATAGGCAATAAGTTAATATTTTTGGTTATTAGAAAATGATCCATTTCAAAAGCCTCCCAGAAGTTGAGTCACAGTTGATGGGACAATTGATTTACCATCCAGAAACCACATGCTCCATTATTGTTGGTTGTACAAGATGCTCTACTAATGCTTTTCAAAGCTATACAGTTGTGTAATTACAAATTTTTTTGCCATAATTTTCATGCCAGGTTAATGTTGACTTCAGGGGCGTGGCCAGCAGCAGCTTAATTGGATTTAAAGTTATAAAACGCCCTAAAACAGGTAAAAATGCAAAACTGACCAGAATGAAATGTCATTTTGTGAAATCATGTTTTGTGTAATTTGACCTATCAAGGAATCATATAAACATGTAAATCATGAGATGACCTGGTTTTGACCAGGTCATCTCATGACCTGATTTATAGTGGACAGAGCTGCACACTAATTTCTTCAATATGAAAAAGTGAATGTAAAACTATTCACTTTGTTTCTGTCATGATGGTGCGTTTGCTAACTGTTGACATCATTTAAAAACTTCCTAATAAATCGGCTCTGTAGCTGTGAATCGGCTACATGGTCATTAGCGCCGGTGTTTAGTGTGTTTGTGGATGCAGGGATTTGGTGACATTGGTCTTTGCTTTGTGCAAGGTTGAGTTCAAAGCTAAAGGACACCAGGACGCTCTCTGGATCCGGTCTCATTATCTAAACGCTGACTTTATCCTTTGGATCTTTGTTTACGGCCCAGACAAAAGCTAATGAACAGCAGACATGGCGGACTGGCAGCGTCATTACAGCTGATGAGTCTGAGGGCAAAGAGGGGAAGATGAAGGTCACCTGCTGATCAGTTTGACTGGCTGTCTGTGGTTTGACGCCTTCATTTTGAAATAAAGTACCCAAATAGATCAATACATCAAAAACCTTCCAGGACATTGAGATAAAGGCATGAATGTTATTGGTTGTCATAACTATACGTCTTCGTTTTAATATTAGATGTAATCTAATCTTTTCAAAATCCTTGACCGTTTAAACAAAATTTATGTTACAAACACAAATTCAATATATTGTAGGCCCACTAGGAATTGAATATAAAACACCAACAAAAAATGAGAATTAAAAATGGTTTTAACATTTTTGTGGCCAAATAATTAGCAGTTTACTGAAATTTCAGGCACTCATGGCATATAAAAACAAGATCAGAGGAGCAACATTTACATGTATTGAACCATTTTTGGTGTAGTTTCTCGTGCATATACTGTATGGTGCCAGATGTTTTTCAGTGATAAGACATTTTTCCTATGTTATAGTACTTTGTCGTCAATATTAAAACAAGCTCATGTACTTGTAAGCTTGTTTTGTCTTATTTCATCATTTGAGGTAGAAACGATAAAAATACTTGGTTAGATTGTGTTTTTGAGGTGAATATGCAAATATTTTTTGTGAAAATGTTTCACAGACATTGAGGATTTTTGATTTTTAGAAGCTCGTCCAGATCAATCTTCCTCAAGAAAACAGAACTTATGATTAAAAGATATTTCAGATTTTTAGGGGTTTGCATCAAATAACAGGTGTAAAATCAGCAGAACAATATAAATCTTATTCTAACAGCACTGAAAAGCAATTTTTTAAAATGTATTAATCCCAAAGGGAAATTAAATGTTCAATGGTTTAAAGAGAAAACTAAAAGAAAAGTAACAGCAAGAAGATAAAAACTAAATTTCATGAATGTTAAAAACAAAATGGTAAAATGTGAAAGTCAGTCAGAGTATCAGGATCCCATCCAGAGCTGCTCTCTGCTTTTTATATGGAGTTAAGAATAGAAAGTTATGCTGAGACTGAAGCTTCTCTGGAGCAAAATTTAATTAAGAGTTTTTTCTCGTGTCAGCAGAAACCGTGTGAAGAAAATGAAAAGAAAGCCTCAGAGCGGAGCGAACCCTGATTTCACAGCAGCCGCCCCCGTTCTCCGGCTCGCTGTGCCCGGACTCCCTGGAGGCCCAGCGGGATGGAGGCGGGATGGAGGCGACGCGACAGCGTTACGTCGGTGGGACCGAGCGGGAGACGGCTCTGGCTGTGGAAGGGGAAACCGAAGATCCCAATATGTGAGAAGAACATCAAGTCCAAACAAACTGGGTTCGGTTTACGGCCTCGTTTAAACCAATGAGTCACATTTAGAAGTATTTGAGTGTGACTTGTAAAACAGGGCAGCGATTCCTTAAAAGGAAGAAATACACCCAGAAATGTTATTTATGTGTGTGATTTAGCTTGAACAGTGAATTTCTAATTTATTCAGAGCTTTAGGTCAGAGGAGACTAAAATTACCATCATGCTGTCTAATACATAATCTGTGAAAAAATGCTAGCTGGTGCTAGCCAGAAACAACCAATCAGAGCTACAAGGTGGGTCTTAGCGCTGTCAATCACTCTTGTGTTCAGCACACCACAGCCTACCACCAATGCTAAGTCTAGTTAGCATAGCCACAGATGACGGCAGATAAAAGGCTTTCCTGTAATGGTGAGTTATTTTGTTGCAGCGCATTCATTCACAAGGTTGATTGACAGCACTAAGACCCGCCTCCTACCTCTGATTGGTTGTTTTTAGTCGGGAGCGATGCATTTCTTCAGATGACTCAGTAAGGAGGTGGAGATCAATGTCCTCACAGATTATCTGTCTCATAACAAACTATCACAACATGGTGGCAGTTTTAATAAATATAGAAAAAACGTTTTTGTAAAAGTGACTCTGCAGCTTTAGCTCCAGTTTTCATCAGTTCACCTACCACCTTCCCTTTTGTAATAACGCCCTGGGCAATTGCCCATACAAACCCAAATGTTTAACAGTATTAGCATTCATGTTATAGTGAGTATTTATAGATCTACATGTTAAGATGCTAAATTCAGCTTCTTTAATTGGAGGAAATATTTAGCTTAAAAATTGTTAGACCTTTACATTGTAATTAACAGACATATCAAGTTTATTATGGAAATTTAAAACAGAAACTAAAGAGTTTAATAAAACCTTTTTTTTTCTAACTAAAGACCGCGACCATCAGCTGAGTGAATCAGGAGCCGGACTGCTCTGCAATTTACAGGATTTTAATCCCAGAGGATTACATGATTCCAGCTTTGTTCAGGGATAAAAGAAACACCAAATTATTCCTCTATGAAGCAGCGAGGCGACAGCAAGCATGGAAAATCCTGTTTCACTTGTGTGTGTGTGTGTGTGTGTGTGTGTGTGTGTGTGTGTTGTGACTTCACTCAGTTCGCATTATCAATCTCTGGCGTCACCTAGTGGTTAAACCAGTGCTGTGCACATCAATGTTCGCCAAAGAACTCAGAAAAATTCCGTAAAAAAACATTTTGTGTTTCTTATCAACATTTTTCAGATTAATCTAAAACATCCTGAGTTGCTTCTAGCAATTTTGGACTTTTCAAACTCAGAATGGTCATTGTTTTTTCTAAAAATAATCTCACAATTTCTTAGTTTATTTCGAGAAAATTTATTGACTTCTGAAGTTTAGAAATCTTTTAGTATTTCTGAGCTTAATCTCACAATTTCAGATTTATTTTCTAGAGCGTTTTTGAGTTTTTTGGCAGGACTCTACTCCTCCTTTTTCCGTCTCTCTATCATGACCTGAATACGTCGATGCATGTTAGTATTTAGTTGCTGAATAAAAATAGCTGAAATACATAAGAGCCAGCCACATAGAAACATTCTGACAATAAGTTTTTATTTTCATTCTTCTGACATCATAGATCCTTATTTTATAATGAAACTTAACTAGTGGTTTTATTCCTTATTTTCACTGTGGAGTCACTGCAGGTTAATGTTAAATAACGGAGTAAAACCCAAATGAAACTTTATTTACAGAGGGAGGAGAAATCAAACATGCAGTTTTTCCGTCAGGAAGCAGCCGCAGCCGTTTTTTCTCTTGTTGAGCAAATACTGTGAAATATTTAGAGGCTAGGTGTCTTCAGAAGACGGAAAACCTTCAAATGCTTCACCTTCACGTCCCGCTCAAACGTCACCAAAGCCGGCTCTGCCAGGGAGAGGATTCACACCGTCTGATGGTTTTACTCCTTCAGCAGTCATCAACAAAGTCTGACCGTTTTGACAGAAAAATTATTTAAAAACAAAACAATTTAATGTTTAAGTGGAAGCTACTTTCTACAAAGTCATAATAGTTTGATAAAAAAATAAATTCACTCCCTTCAAGTCAGTATTTTCACATCTGGACACATTAATTTTTACTCCTTGCAAGAAATTAGGATGGAAACAGCAAGTTAGGACTGAAAAAAAGGTACTAAATTTCTCCCAAACACTCAGAAACTTTTAGATTAATCTCAGATGTTTTCTAGAAGAAAAATAAAAACAGGGAATTTCTGACCTTGAAAAGTGGAAACTTTGCTACAAGAACTCAAAACTTTTGTAGAAAAAAAGGTGGAACCTGAAAATTTGACAGTAAAAAAAACTCAGAAACTTTTAGATTAATTTCAAAACTTTTCTTGCAAAAAGCCTTGAAATTTCTGACCTAGAAATGTGGAAAATTTTCCACAAAAAACTCAGAAATCTTCTAGAAAAAAAGTAGGATTTTCTAACATTCAGGAAAAAAAGTTTGAAATTTTCAGATTGCTCAGGAATTTTCTGGACAAAACTTTGTAATTTCTGACCTTGAAAAATTGAAAAAATGTTTAGAAAAGCAAGTTGTAAATTTCTGAGCTGAAAATGTAACAAAATTATAAAAAGAAAAAAAAATCATACATTTTAAATCAATCTCAGAAATGTTATAGATAAAACCTGGAAATTTTCTGGATCTCCATCATAGACTTCTGCAACTTCCCCTCCAAAAAGAGCGATAGAAATAATATTTAAATTAGATTTATTTATTTTTACTTCTCACAAACCTTCTATTGCCTTTAAAACATCACATTCAATTCATAAACCGCATTCAGTTTTAATGAATTAACCAACAGATGCATTGATGGTTGGTAATTAATCATTTCAGGCTTTTATATGCTGAAAACATTCAGGAAAACAAGATTAAATGACAGTTTCTGCTGTTCACAGTCATACATTTTAAATTACAAAGTCATAGTTGAAATTAATGTCAGTTGATACATTCAGACAACTACAGCATCAGTTTTTCAGACTGAATAAGGAGAAACCTTGAAATGAGTTTTGGTTAAACATTGCACATGTAAACATCCGGTTCAGATTTCAGAACCGAGACGAACATTCAGCTGTAAAGTCTGAGCATGCATACATGGAGAAACAGCCAGCAACAGCTTCTAACGGTAAACAACCATGAAAACCAGAATCCAGGTCATTTTTCATCCAGATATAAAAAATGAACCTAAATTCACTCCTGGTCGGAGGGAAGAAATGAAATGTGCAAAAATAAACAAAACTGCTTGAATTCATGACCTTCTGCTTCAGGTAAACGTCATTAATCAGTTGAATTTGGTGTGGAAGCACAGGTCGGTACCGCACGGTGTCACTGCATGAACCACAAACTCTGTTGGGTTTCAAGTTACTGATCAAAACAACATGAGTCGTACATTAAAAAAAACATTTTATAACATAAAATTATCATATAAACCTTAGAAAACATCTTCAAGACTAAAAGGTAGTTTTCAATCTCCAAAGGATCAATTCACACAACTACATATTTATTCTTCTTAGAGCTGGACGATATGATGTAATCGTTTCTTACCAGTCAATGCAGATAGTTATTGATTACGTTTTTCTGCTTTAGATATCTGAAAGATTGTCGACTGGTGGTCTGACCTTTCCTGTTTTATCTAGTTGTTTGTTTTTAAGCAGGCATTGTGGTGAAACATTAAACTGCTGCTGCGCCAGTTACTCAACAGCTTGTTGCTAGGTAACCGAAGTTGGGCGGAACTGGAAACTGCTGGTAAATAAACTTTGAGGATTCTCTGTGAAACATCGAACTGTCTATTAAGCTCAGATATTTGAGTGAACCGACCTTTTAAAGGTCCAAATGGCCAGATCACATCTCATTGGGCATAAAATGACAGACATTTTGAATAACAAGTGTAAATCAGAGTCTCTGTTGCTTCAGGCCCTCAGATGCCGTTGGACATCATCCCCGTGTTCAGTTTCAGGAAGAACGACTTCAGCTTGCACAGCCGGCACTTCTTCTTCTTCCTCTTCTTCTTGGCGTTCTTACCTTTCTTATAAACTCCCTGATATTTCGCCTCTTCCTCTCCGTCTGCCCAGGGCGCCCAGGCCCGGCTGTTCCGGCTCGGGTTGGCCCGCGGGTCGTCGGGGGGGAAGTACACAGGCACGGCGGTCCGGTTGTAGTGGGCGAGCCGCTCCAGCAACTGCTGGACCACGTCTGGCCTGCGGTCCGCCAGGTCCCGCCGCTCGAACGGGTCGGTCGCGATGTTGAAGAGCCAGACGGTCTTCGGGCCGGGCGGGTCGGAGAGCACCGAGGAGGAACGCTCCAGGTTCCACCAGCGGCCCGGAAGGGTGGGAAGCATCTGCGGATTAGCGATTGGGAATGTTTTAGCTTGTTTTGTAGAAATAAAACAGAATATTTTTAAAGTGGATTCACAACAGCTCTGTTTAATTATTTAATTTATTCTTGACGAAATGAGTGGCCACCAGAGATTGAATCGGTTCGTTTTGGGGAGATGTGAACACAAACCAAACTATTAATACGGACCAAAACAACAAACTCTGGTCCGCCTACAGCTTGGTTGAAGTGAACTCTGAAGCGATTCGAGTGAATATGTGAACGCCAAGCCGACCGTAGACTACTCTCGAGAATAGGAAGTGAACTACAATGCAGAGGATTCTGGGTAAATACAACTAAAACGAACGTGACAGGCTAGCGCTAGTTGGAGAAATTACTCGGTGTTTTAGCAAAAGAGAAATACTACAACCACTAAAATCTAACGCTGAATCAAATTCCTCTCACTGTCTTCTTTTTTTGTGTCTTTTCCTTCTGTGGTTCTTGGTGCAGCGCCCCCACAGGCGAGGAGGGGAACAGGGTTTCCAAATGATTTGGTTGGTTTGGCTCACTGCAGTGAAAATGTAACAAATGTTGCAGTTCTGGTTTCAAATCGAACCCGGTCTACCGGACCATCAGGTGTTAAAACAGCCCAAGAACTTTTCTCGGTACCTGTGGAGGGACCCAGTCTCCGTGACCCGGATCTCCGGTCAGCAGCTTCCAGTCTCCGACCCGGATGGCGGCCTGGACAGACGTGTCCCACAGCGGAGACGGTGTCGGGGTTCCAGACTGAGATGTGTTCTGGTTCTGGGTCTGGACGAAGGTCTGCTTGGGTTTTGGCGTTAGCTGCTCTTTGAGTGGTTTCTTTGGTTTGGTGTGAGCGGGTCTGGACTGGGACAAGTTGTGTGACGTGGTTCTCTTGGATTTGGTTCTGGATTTTTGGTGGAAAGCGCCAGATGGAGCGCTGCCGGACTGGATTCCACGCTGCAGCTCTGGTTCTGGTTTCGTCTTTGGGCCAGACGTCAGCTTCAGCTTGGGAACAGGCTTGGATTTCTTTGCAGCCTGATGGGAAAAAATCTGAGGTTTCTTGGTGGTTTTTAGCTTGAATCCAGACTTTTTATCCAGTTTCTGCTTCAGAACTTTCTTCAGGTTCTGAAACGCAGCTGCTTTGGACGGGATTTCTGCCAAATCAAAAGAAATAAAACATGAACAAACCAGTTAAGGAAAATAGCATTTAAGAAGTAAATGAACGAATGTAGAGCTGTAAATATTTTAGCAATTGATTATTCTGACGATTAATCGGTTAAAAAAACAGCCACATTGTTCAAATTTTTCATTTAATCTCTTAAGCTTTTTTCATAGAGCATCAAAAATACATTAAATATGCTAATAAACAAATGATTTAATTCCTTTTTATATGTATTGCCTAAAACACAATAATGTAACATTCGTTTAGTGAATTTGGACTGGATGAAACTAAAACTTATCAGCTCAGGGTAAAACATATTTACATACAAGGAAGAGCTTTTTATCTAAAATATGCAACATTTTAGATAAAATATCTAAGATACACCAAAACTGTAGTCTTTTAGGTTTGGTTTAATTAATGCTCTGAAAATGTTTTATTTTTTACAATTTGTTATTTTTTGGAGTCTGTATACTTCAGCTAACGATTAATCGCTTGCTAAATCCGATTAATCGTTTTAGCCATAAACCAGTTTGCTTATTATTTTGGGCTCAATTGAAGAAAACTGAAATAAATAAAAACAGGATCTAAGTCACGCTTCACTTGAAGACGCTTGTTGCATTTAGCCAAGTTGTAACAAAGCAATTAAAAGCAGATTTGGACACTTTTAATCGATTAATCCGATTAATGGTTTCAGCCTTTATAAACTGAGTTGATTCTCTTTTCGTTCCTATTCCCGTCCATCGTACTTGCAGCTGCTTTCTTTCTGGGCTTGTCGTCCCGGCTCTTGGTTTCAGTCGGATGTGTGTGCAGCGGGTCGATGTTGTGGAGAATCTCTTTTCGTGGAGACTCCTTCCCCTCGCTGATGGCGGCCCAAACGTCAAACCCATCCAGACCTTGGCTCTGAGCCACAAACACAAGCAAAGGCTTATGCAGGAAACTCCCTCATTCCTGTGGCTGGGATTCATTTAGTTAAATACAAACAACAGCTTAGAGACACACTTATTGCATATCCAGCATTTTTTATCCAGCATTGTACAGTCACTGATAGAGTATTAGGGTCAAGAAAAATATTTAATTACGAGAATAAAGCCAAAGTATTCCAAGAACAAAGTCGTAATAACAGAAATAGATTTGCATGACAATGAAGATGAAATAGTACGAGAATAAATTCCTAATAATGACAATAAATTTGTAATAATACAAGAATAAAATCGAACGACAATTAAGTAAAAACACGACGAGTAAAGTTGTAATAATATAAAAATAGTCGTAAAAATGCAAGATTAATTTCGTAAGTTGAAGTCGAAATAATACATGAATAAAGTTGTAATAAAACAAAATTGAAGGTGAAGTAAAACAAGACAAAAAGAAAGTTGCACAAATATGAGAACAATGTTCTAAAAATAGGAGAACAAAAGTCGTACAAGAATGAAGAATAAATTCATAATATTACCAGAAAAAGTTGTCATGTTAGTCAAATTAGTCATTCTATGATAAATCACAAAAATATAAAAATTAAAGAAATGTTGATCTTGTTAAGTTAAACTTGGTCTTGTTATTAAGTTTTACAGACAGAAAAATCAATGTATCAGCATGAAATTATTTTCAATTTAGTTCAAAGAAACTTAACAAACTGATCACATAAATGATTTATAACTCAATTAGAGCTTTGCTTTCAATAAAAAAAATTCCAGTTATTTTACAACTTTCTTCTTGTAATATTGTGTAATTTTTCCACTAATATTACAACTTTATTCACTTACTTAAAGAAATTGTTTTCCCATACTATGATATGCTAAAAATAAAAAATCTGGTTTCAATTAATAGAACAAAGCAAAGTCAGTGAGAGCTTATAAATAACCCATAAATAAAATAAAATGATGCAATAAAATAAAATACATTAAGCTTCCAAATAAAACCATGAGTGTTGGACGACTGACCTGGGTTATGTTGCCACCGGCCAGTCCCACCAGTGTGGGGAACCAGTCCGTGATGTGGAGCAGAGCTCTGGAGACCCGCCTCCTTCGCTTCAGCAGCGGGCTGTGGACGAACGCCACGCCACGCACCCCGCCCTCCCAATACGTGCCCTGCAAACAAACCGCCATGTTTACCTGGAAGGACTCGTAATGCACTGATGTGTTAGGGGAAATCTACACTAAAACTGGTATATTTTTAATTAATTTACACTCAAACGTCAAAATAGGTTAATTTTAAGCTGTGAAAATTACAGATTTAACCAAAGTCGTCTTTCCAGAGTGCTTTAGGTTCACTTTAAAATCTAAAATCACAATTTTTTTACAGAAGCAGATGTAGTTCCAGGAACAAAGAAAGGACACGGGGGAAAATGAGGTCTGAAGGATGGAAGAAAGAAAAAAGATGAAGTTCTGAAGGTAGGAATGAATGTTACTTCTGGCAGAAATGACAAAGAAGATGACAGGAAGTGGTAGGAGGATGAGAGTAGCGCATGTTTTTTAATTATTTATTTCCAGAACAAACTCATTCACGTTGTGCATCTACATCTTCACTGTGGTTTTTCGACATTAGTGGAATATTAAGAGTTTAATACACATTTGTAATGGAATTGCATTAATTGCATTTCCATTGGACTTGCACATCAGATCTGGCTCAAATTGGAATTACGAAAATAAATTTGCTTAATGGAAACAACAATTTCGAAAAATTTGGATAGAAGGTTTTTGCACTAGGATGAGGTCATTGTTTGGCCATATCTAGAAAAGAGTATTTTGAAAAATGGAAATACTTTTTTTGCATTGGCAGAAACAACATAAAGGTCAACAGGAAGTGATAGGAGGATGATGGTGCTGAGAGTTTTACACACATTTGGAATGTAAATGCAATTAGTGTGCCAATGTTTTTAGGATATTTACAATCGATATTAGTATGTTTGCTTCAAATAATGATTTATAATTATTTGTATTAAAATACAGTACTTCATTGTTTACCTTCCTGCCTCGTAGCGGCCAGTTGCTCCCTCCAGTGAAAGGCTGGGCTCCATTGTCAGTGGAGTAGATGATCACACTGTTCCTGTAGTAGCCGTACTTCCTGAGGGCATAGGTCACATTTCGGACGGCTTCGTCCACCGTGGAAACCATGGCGGCGAACTTCCGCCTGGCGACGTTGGCCATGTTGTGGTAGGGGTAGATGTAGGACTTGGGAGGCTGCAGAGGAGTGTGAACCGCCTGGAGGAAAAGAATTCAAGACTTTCCAGATTCAGAATAACTTTATTTTGGTAAATTAACAACATTACAAAGACAAAAACAAAATAAAACACAATTTAACAACCAATAGTTTACAAAAAAAAATCTTCATGCTTTGCTTTCCTATCCTATTTATAGACTCAACATACTATACACAGTTCATATATATATATATATATATATATATATATATATATATATATATATATATATATATATATATATATGCAAACAGCTATGCCCTGCCAGTAATCAGATACCCTTCTGGAATAATTAGCTGGCCAAAGGAGGAGATAAAAGCCACAGATATTAAGACTAGAAAGCTACTAACCATGCATGGAGGGTTCCATCCCAAATCCAGCACCCTGAGACTGTACACGAGCCGCAAGGAGGAGGCAGAGGACTAGTGAGTGTGAGAACCACTGTCCAGGACGAAACAACTAAGATCCATAAATACATCAGGGACAAAGCCTCAACAGACAATGTGCTCAGTGAATCTCAGAAACAGGGAACGGAGGTTGAGGTGCCAGAGATACCATCATGGGAGGACAAGCCCCTACATGGGATGTACCACCAGCAAATAACCCAAGTGGCTGATATCAGTAAATCCTACCAATGGCTGGAAAAAGCTGGACTCAAGGACAGCACAGAGGCCCTCATCCTGGCCGCCCAGGAACAGGCCCTAAACACCAGAGCAATAGAGGCCCAGATCTACCACACCAGACAAGACCCAAGGTGTAGGTTGTGCAAGGAGGCCCCTGAGACAATCCAGCACATCACAGCAGGGTGCAAGATACTGGCAGGGAAAGCGTACATGGAGCGACATAACCAAGTGGCAGGCATAGTATACAGAAACATCTGTGCAGAATATGGACTGGAAACCCCGAGTCAAAGTGGGAAACACCCCAAAGGTGGTGGAGAACGCCAGAGCTAAGATCCTGTGGGACTTCCAGATCCAGACAGACAAATGGTAATGGCGAACCAACCAGACATTGTCGTAGAGGATAAACATCAGAGGAAAGCCGTTGTGGTAGATGTAGCAATACCAAGTGATTGCAACATCAAGGAAAAAGGAGCACGAGAAACTGGAGAAATACCAGGGCCTCAGGGAAGAACTGGAGAGGGCCTGAAAGGTGAAGACCACAGTGGTGCCTGTGGTCATCGGGCCCTCGGGGCAGTAACCCCCAAACTGGAGCAGTGGCTACAACAGATCCCAGGAACAACATCAGACATCTCAGTCCAGAAATGTGCAGTCCTTGGCACAGCCAAGATACTGCAGGACCCTCAAGCTCCCAGGCCTCTGGTAGAGGACCCGAGCTCAGAGGATAAGAACCACCCGCGGTGGGTGAGAAGGGAATTTTTTATATCAGACGTGTTATCTAATGATATTGATGAAGTGTCGATTGTGATATGTGTTATTGAATTTATCGTCTTGCCCTAATTTCTTAGCAATATAATAAATAGGGCAGTTATTCAATATGCAGGCCTTTCAAGCAAATGTATTTCTAATATATTTAATCTGAGTCTTCAAACTAAGTTTCAAGTCTTTTTGCACAGATGCACATTTCTCAAGGCCTGTGCAGTTACAGCCAGCCAATATAGTGAAAATAAACGATATGTAAACAAATGTAATCTTAAATTACTCTTCCTGTGTCTGGATTTAATTCTGCAGATGTTTGAAAGTGGAAAACAAATCTCTAAATGGGTTTCAGATGTTCAGAAACACTTTAATGAACTCTGTGTCCTTCCATGCAGGCATAAACTAGAACTCCACCTTAATGTCACGTTGCACAGACGTCCTGATACCTGGAGGGACAGCAGCAGAAAGAGCGGTCCGTCCGTCGGGCTGCGGCTCTCCAGGATCTTCCTGGCTCTCTGGGTGAACAGCGTCGTGGAGTATTTTCCCTCCTGGCCCCACGCGACGCTCTCATTGTCATGCAGGTCGTAGCCACACAAACCCGGGCCGTCACAGGACCGATAGCTGGTCAGCGGACAGAGAAGTTTAAAAAACTCACCCGGCGAATGACAGACTGAGTTTATGTGTAACGTTATACTAACCTGTAATAATCCACACTTCCTGTTAACGAACCAAAGAAAGAGTCGAAACCTTTTCTGGTGGGCAGGCAGGCCTTCCTGCAGAACAGGAAACAAGGAATTTACTGTAATTAAATTGTATTAAAGGGTTACAATAGATTGTGTTTATCTTGTTCAGAAGACACAGATGGAGCTGAATATTCTGCTAGAGGAGAGAGATATTGCGTAATCTGGCATCGATACAATTCTAGATACCAAGACCAGATTTACCGATACTTTTTATTTTAGTTTGATAAATCATCAAACTTCTTACCTTCAGGCATTTTTGTAATTTTTACTTTCAATTATTTTGTTAAAACCTAAATAGATCTCAACAACAATTTTTTCTGTTGTTTTCTAAATAAAGTGCAAAAATATTATGATTTGACAAGATATCGAAACATATTTTTTACTCTATAGAGTTGAGAAAATGCAATACTGATACCAATTTGGTGCGGCTGCTTGATAAGCAACGTCGCTCTGCTAGCCTGCATTCCGTCTCCATGGTAACCAGCTGCTGTACTGGCCAATCAGAGCTGGCCAAGTATTAACCCTCTTACTGATTGGTTCTACTTTAACTTTTTTTTGATCACACTTCTATATTTCCAAATAATGATTTTCTCTATTTTGAGAAAAGAAGAGATCCAAACCGACTCTATGTAGGAAACATTTTTTAGATATTATGACCAATAACCGACATCAAAGTCGAATGCTAGATAAAAAGGTACATGTGCTAATCCTAAAACACTAATCATAAACATTATGATTGGGCTCTAAAGCCCTACAGTAACATGGTGTTTAGCAAAGCCCTATAGTAGCATGATGTTTAGCAGATGCTAATGCTAAAGCCCTCCAGTAGCATGGTGTTTAGCAGATGCTAATGCTAAAGCCCCATAATAGCATGGTGTTTAGCAGATGCTAATGCTAAACCCTACCGTAGCATGGTGTTTAGCAGAAATTAAAGCTAAAGCCCTTCACCTTTATTGTCTTAAGTGGAAGCTAACGCTAAAGCTCTACACCAGAACCTTATGCTAAAGTGCTAACTTTAATGGTTAGTTTAAAAACCGCAGCCCTTGAGCACCATTCAATTTTGACATTACAGCTTACATGTTCTCGATCGCCCTCAGATCCTATAGAATTTCTTGTTCTGTATAGAAATGTCGAGGCGTTCTGAGACTCACCTGTAGAAGCCCAGGTGCCACTTGCCCACCATGTGTGTGGCGTACCCGGCCTGGCGGAGCCTCTCGGGCAGCGTGTCCATGTGTGAGGGCAAACAGCTGGGCTGCCTGGGTCTGATGATGGAGTGCTGCAATCCTGTGTGGATCTGATATCTCAAAGAAAACAAGATCTGTCGTCATCCCTCAAAGTAAAACGACTTTAATCATGTTTCAGTCAGAGCCTCGGACTCAGCAGCCATCAGTTGTTTTCTCTGAAGCAGCTGTTAAAAATTAGGACGACTCGTATCTGAGCACAGCTGTAACTGATCTGCAGGATGAACAGCTGCATGAAAAAAATCTACATAAAATGTGAATAACGCCAGAATTATAGCGATGACTGACAGTAAACAGTTGGCTTTACATGTGTTTGATACATAAAAAACATGTTTTGAGTTCAGATGGCTGCAGTTTGACATTTGAGCCACTAGATGTCACTAAATCTTCCACTTCCTGTTTCACCTTAGAATCCTTCCAGAAACGTTCAAAGCTCACAAATTAACCATAAAATGCTTTAATCTGGATGTTTTATGTCTTAATCTTGTTTTAGCTGACTTGTCTCCCCCTGCTGGCCATTGGAGGGGATGCTATTTTAATTTGAATTGATATTTTGTTTTTATTCCATCCAAACATTAATATAATATGAATATATTTTCAGATTTAGAAAACAATGCAAGAATGAGCATCTTTCAATCTAAGTTTTCTCTGGAGTCATTTACAGATTTAATTATAAATTAACTTATTTCCATGTATGTTTTATTACTTATTTAATTTTAAGTTGTATTTAAATACGATACTTATATGTGTATATAATGACTATTATATAAAATATGTATAGTAACCATTTTATATATAGTTTATATAACATTTTCATTTATATAGTAATGGTGGCATACATTGGACACTGTTTATTGCATTAACTGATTAATAACTGAATCGCAAAATGTGCTCAATAGGAGATTTTAGTTGTTTTATTATTAAATGGAAAATGTTTATACTTTTGTGCAGTTTGGGCTTAATTGCAGGCAGGTGTGTGTTGTTATTTCAGCATAGGTTGTTTTTAGTCTGTTTACTTCAATTAAGGAATAATCGATACTAAATTAGTCAACCAATCACAAGAAATCACAACAAATTGTTTCAGAACGAATCACACTGATGGTCTGTTGTGCGGTGAGAATGAATGAGGGTGACTGAAAGGTTTGATCGGCTGCTGACGCGGCGCGTGTACCTGCCGGTCATCAGCTGGCTCCGTGACGGCGTGCAGATCGGTTGGACGTAGTAGTTCTCCAGTATCACGCCCTCTCCGGCCAGTTTGTCCAGAGTTGGGGTTATGATGGTGGGGTTGTGGTAACCGATGTCGTTGTAGCCCTGTCACAGATTGAGTTCTGCTTTACTCTTCTGCAGTCGCTGCGTTTACTCTGAGTTTTATCCAAATTGTACTTTATTTAAATGTGTTTATTTAATGTGACCACATCAACATTTCATTGACCTCTGCAATCAGAAAACATTTGTTATTCATTACTTGTGCAAACATTTAAAACCAGCTCATTTCTTTATGTTTGCTTCGTATTTTAATGCTGAAACCATCAGGAAACTTCAACTGCACCAGCTTCAATTTAACCCAAAGGGGGCAGCAATGAGACGGTTTTAGGCCAAATATTGCAGTTATATTTATTTACACAAAAAATTGTCACAATTTGCACAAACATCGTAAAGTCAGCAACTTTAAGAACCAATTATCTGCAGTTCATCTGCAAAAAAAAAAAAAATGAAATAAATAAGATTGGAGTGTTAGTTTCATTTACACTGCAAAGACTCAAAATCGTAGCAAGTATTTTTAGTTTCTAGTGCAAATATCATCATTTTGTCCTTCAGGACTTAAAAGTAACTTTTCAACAATGTATAGAAGCTCATATACCTTTAGTGTATAAATAATCTTTAATTTTAAATAAAAAAAGTACTAGTTAACGTGACGGATTATTTCACTTATAAGATATTTTCCCATAGTCAAAAAATCTGCCAGAGTAGCTAGTACTTTTGTGTTAATACTGAAGGATAGTTGACTTAAAACAAATTACTATATCTTGGTGAAAAGTTAGTTTTGTCTTATTTCAGGCACTAAGACATTTGCACTAGAAATTAAACAAAAGTTCTAGTATTTTAAACCCCAAATCAACATTTTGTTTTTAAACAGCCTAAATTGGTGCTGACTTTATGTCTGACTATAAATTAGTTCAAGATACTTGTACTAGAAACCAAACCAAAAATATTTGGCAAAACTTTGGGTTTTGCAGAAGAAAAAGCAACTTGCTGAACACTAATAGACTCGTTACTGTCATGATATGTTGACTATTAAATTATAGCAAAAATTAATGTTTCCTTCAAGTCTGAGTGCTTGGAAGGTGAATAAATCAAACTTTCTTCCAGAAACTCACTTGGTCGTCAATCAGAATAAAGATGATGTGCGGCTGATTCTTCCTCCCAGTCTCACCAGTCTGAACGTTGCTGCTGTTTATGCGGCCTGACTGGGACTGAGCCGACAGGAAGTCCAAGCTGAGGAAAACGCTCAGCACAGTCGCAGCTGCCCGCATCGTTACGGCTCCTACAGAAAACGCAAAACGGGACAAAATAAACTCAAACAACACCAGAAAGACGGAGGAAAGACGAACAGGGCTGAAAAATGTCTGAGTGGGCACGGTTTCACAGGAGCATGCCATTGCTGCAGGACGGAGCGTAGATCATAAACCACATTTGGGATTGACTCGCCAACTTGGCTGAAGCTGTGATCTGAAACGCATC